CAGGGCACACACAGACACAGATCACACCCTGGATGGGACAGCAGTCTATCACAGGGCACACACAGACACAGATCACACCCTGGATGGGACACCAGTCTATCACAGGGAACACACAGACATAGATTTAGAATCGCACACACTCACATCAGCGCCAGTTGTCCAATTTTCCCACCAGCACGTTTTTGGATCAGAGGGAACCCATAGGAACATGGGAATAACATACAAACTCCACACAGACAGCACCCCGGACCCAGGAATGAATCCAGGTTATTAGTCCTATTTATCCGAGGGTTTGCTGTAATTGATCAGTCATTAAATTAACACTTGACAAACGCACAAAATAATAATAGCACTACACCATGAAACAATAGATTTCAGTCTCATAAAAAACATTTGGTCTCATTAGCTCGTAGATCAGGGTGGCCAGAGTTAAACTGATTCAATCTTCTGGATCCCAGGACCTGAGCTCCAGAGTTGGGAAGCTCAGGACTAGAATCCTCCTCCCCCAAAATTATTAAAAAAAAAAGATTTTCTACTGCTGTAGTGAATGAGAAACAAAGATAATTAGAGCAAAATATTTCTCACAATTTCAAAAACCCAGGTTTAACAGTATTTATTTGAACAGTAATAAAAGAAAGGCTCAGTTATTTCTTTTATTTTAAGGCTATCCAGAAAATGAAAATCTTCAAGAAACCCAAAGCAGAAAGCATTCTTTTAAATCGCACATCTTAACCATCTTTGTTCTAATGGTGTCATTCTACGAGGAGCAGCTGAAGCAAACTCTATTAAGAGGCAAGAAATGACCCAAGGCAGCACCACATAGCTTTAACAGCCCTGAAATGATTTTTTTCTGTGATAATTTCCTTGTCCTTATTCTGCAGTTCACATGAAGGCATGATCGATTCCCTGTGCTCTGCATTTATCCTGGAAAGCATGCAAATTACAGTATGATATGTGCCAGCCCCTGGGAGCTGAATAAGCAAATGATTAATGGTGTTATAATGAGAATCCTCTGTGTTGCACAAATTACCTCCCTGACTAACAGGGGTGTTTGCAATCTGTAGTATTTCATTGCTTCTCTTCATAATAAAACTGGCAGTGGCAGCTTATGAGTTTGTCCCCGTTCAAGTTTTTTTTCCTAGCACGTGTCATCATTGGTACACAGCTGGTCATTAGGTAAGGAACAACATTCGAATACTATTAAGAAATTTCCACTACTCAGCACTGTGAGGAAGTTTTCCACAGATTGTTCTGATACCCTGCTGCCTTTTGTTTGGTAAACGTACTCCTTACTTACTTCAGTATCAGACTGATGATTTGTTTCTGAGTAGGGCCCGCTGCAGTCTGGCCATAAGTCTCAAAGTCTCCTAACTATGTGAAAGAAAAATGTATTTGTTCAGGGTGCAAATAACAAGTGTACTGAACTGGCTGGGTTTGTCTACATGTTAAAAAGAGCTAAAGTCCATTTGGTGAAATTCTGTACATGTTTGTGCCACATACAGCTCTGCTCCCCCTCTGGGGCACCCTTGGCCATGACTTTCTCCACACAGTGCCCCTCCCCACACAACAGGAACACCATTCTCCAGCGGGCCAGGATTCCTGCTGTGGGAGAATCCAAAGATATCTACAGCAGGTTTCGAGGAGGGGGATGTCAACCTCTGTAACCTGCTTGGTGCCAGATGAGTCCTGCTGTACCTGCAGCCTTGTCCCTACAGTCCTCGTTAACGCGCAGATCTGCTCGGATACATTACAGCTGCGGGTCGGCCCTCTGTCTCTGTCAGCAGCCATTCTTTTCTATCAGAACCCCCCCCACAGGCTGGGATAAAAGTGTGGAGCAGCAGTCGGGCACAGGGTTCGGGCAGGAATATTAATTAGCTCGTCAACCAATCACAAAGCTACAAGGGACAGAAGTCTCATTTTGATTTATAAAGAGCACCTTTCAGCCTTACAGCTTTCCAGCACTGTAAAATGAGAAATTAGAGCTAATATCCATTTATGGCTAATCATTCCCCAGAATATTGTAATGGCACCTTTCACTGATAGAAATTCAGAGGATTCATTAAGATGTCAGTAATTAAAAAAAGGCGTAAAATATATTCCAAAAACTGACACAAATTGATTCCTTTGCTTCTAAGAGGTCACAGATGTTTTATATTTTTTGTTTCAAGATTTAGTACTGAGGTCTGGCAACCATGCTGAAAGGTTTCACCTGGCATGCCCAACTCCTTTTGGAATCTCTCAATGCAAGCTGGGCCTGACTCAGCCACCAGGAATCGTTTGAAATTTAGGAAAGGAGGCATATCTCTACACAAAGGGTTGTAGAAGTATGGAGCAAGCTGATACTCAGCAATCCTTCAAGCAACATCTGGATGAGACACTTGGATCAATAAGCTACTAACTATCAAATGGTCAAGATGAACCAAATGTCTTCCTGCTGTGATCTTGTGTTCTAATTCCCTCTAATTGGCTGAAAAAGAGGTAAAGAGTACAGAATGCTATATGGATTAACTCTGGCTGTCAAGAAGAGAGAACACCGTGTACAATAAAGAAGTGATGGTTAATAAAATTCTTGCCGATATCAACAGCTGGATATTTACCTCAGCATTTCTGATAGGAGTTTACGTGCGCACTTCTGCAATCAATTACACAAAGGAAAGAATAAATACCCACAAACGAAAGTAACTGGATTCTTGGCAACTATATTCAGAGTTCTCGAACTTGTGCACAGATGCTTCAGGCATCTCAACTCCAATTATTAGTTAAGAAATAATGATGGGATCCCATATTAATAAATACAGTGACTCCACCTATGTTTATTAATATCAACCAACATCAGATATTTATGTTGGTGGAAAGTTTCATTGTAATTAATTAAGGCTCTTGCTGCCTCTTCAGGTCAGCCACTCCCCTCAGCGAAATGCCCCAGATGGAACAGCCAGAGGTATCCACATCTGTATGCCCTTCTCAAGCTAGAGAGTGACCCCACTCCCCTCCTCACAGACCATACATGTCTTTATGCAAAATGCAAATCAAAAACAAACCCACAGCAGCGAACAGGATAAAATGAATTACATGGAATCGCAGCATCTATCTAAACTACCCATGGCTAAAGCTGAAAATACAGTACTAGTAATTCAATTCAAAATACTTTATTCATTCCCAAGGGGCCAATTTAAGTTTTAATTTTGCTTCCAGTGCAGCAACATTTTGCACTGGACTGTTAAGACTTTCCAAGCTGGTTCTTAACAGTCTCGTGAGATATAAAGCAGATTGAGGTGTATCTCTTTCCAACACTTGATTCTGAAGGACTGCTGCCTTTTTTATGTATGGTTTCTTCGACCTCCTTTCAGCTCCTTTAAGCTCAGAAATCACGCTCCCCCCAGAACTGTGCTCAAACTGCACAGGTGATGCCAGGCGGTCAGCTCAGACACGTACACTTTACTGAGCGATGGCCAAAACGTCCGCTGAAGGAGGACATCGCCCCGCTGGTAAGAGCTGAGGGGCCATTTGTCTGAGAATGCCATTACGGCATCTGTGCCTCCAGAGATGTACGCAAGACGCCAAGCCAAGACGATTCACAGCAGAGCACACGTTAAAATACGACAAGAGACATGGAACTGGGAGCAATGTGTTAGCTGCTGCCGATGCAGAGAAGCAGATTAAGAAAGACGAGGGATAATGTGTCTTTAAAGTATGGTATCTATTGTACTTTGATCTGAACAGTCATTTTCAGGGCAGTGCAGCGTGGGTCTGACGGGGTTAAACGCAGCCGTGTGAGACCACTGATTTACTGTAGGAAAGAGTCGGTCTGCCAGCCCTGATGCATTGTTGTCATCGCTAGCTATCATATCCAAATTCAACACAGATTAGTGAAATCAGTCAAATGTGGCACCTGTTCTTTCTCTTCATACTGCGTTTGGTGTGTAAATCCAACTAAAGCAGGATTGATCACTAAAGAAAAAAAATGTTATTTGATGGATTTCTAGGAAAGTGACTCCAGGGAGCCTACAGACGGCAGCTGGCACACAACAGTGGAAATGAAAAATCGAATTGGATTCCCCTCAGTGGGCAGACTTGGCAATGAGATTAAGTCTTGACAGACGTTGTTCATAACTCCCAGCAGAGGGTGCTAGGCACAGCACAAGAGCGACAAAGAGCCAAACAACACAGAGGAAAAAAAAAAACGGGGAAAAAAAGAATGGAATGGACTTCTGTAGACATGAATGAATAACAGTACCGACACTGCTTTCAGTCAAGACAAGTCACCACTCATCGATATGGGTTTCCCTGCGTTCCTGCGATCAAATATTTAAATAAGAATTACTTAATAAAATAATTTAGGGACCAAGCTACAAATATGCTACCTTGTGTAGTTTTATTGCCAAGAACTACATTCATACATTCATAGGGTCACTGAACCATAGAAGAGCTAGATTTAAATTCCAGTCAGTAAGTACCCAAACTATTTAATTTCGAAGTCTGACATCAGTTGGCTCCTCTGTATTGACTGACTTAAACAAACATTTGTTAATGAATATTCTAGTTTTGTTCATTTTATGGGTGGAAAAAGCCTAAAGGGAATCCAGACTCACACTTGAAAGCTGCTGAATGATGTTTCCTATCCCACAAGCCCAATATCAAACCACACGCTCTCTGCTTGAAAGGTATTATGAAGCTCATTGAAAACACTGGTTTCTGGGAAAGACACAAAAAGGACAAATGGACAGAGGTTTGTGCAGCGCTCTCACCACTTTCTATCAATAGTGACACATCTTTCTTTTGTGCTTCTGTTTTGGGCAACCCTGCACACATACTGTAAGACCAACAGTGTACCACACGTATTGCATTTCAATAAAACAAACATTTCAGCTGCTGGATAGTTTCCACTCCATATCCTGGAGCTCCTACCTTGGCAATAGGTGGTGTTGATCTTTTTGTATCCTTTGGGGCAGTCTATTGCATGTCTTGATCCTGTCAAAGGAATGGCTGGAAAAAAAAGAATATCTGCTGTTTATTTTGAACAGAGCTATTTCTTGGACATGTAGTAGCATTGAAAACGTTTCTGCTGCTTCATTGACAATTAATACAAGAACACTTTTGGAATTTGTTGGGCAGCCTTTATTCTAACAAAACGCCAAAACATTTTAATTCTTAAGAGGTTTTTATTTCTTAAGACACTGTGGATACTTGAATGCAGAACATATAACCTAAGTCCCTAACCTCAACGTTTTTGCTTTGACATGCCTCTGAAGAAGAAATATGACTGCCCTGGGTCACTGGTAATGAAATGCAAGCAAACTGAAACAGGAGTGCCCTTGGTCTGTGTGTCGGTTTCACTCCAGCCTATAATCCAACTCAATGCAAAAGAGCTGAAGGAAGCAAGGTGACTTCAGAAAGGCCTTTCAGTACTATCCATGACTTCCATGTACTGTATGACTGAACTCCCTCTGTGAGCCATAACCATTTAAGAGTCTTTGATGGGGTGTAAATAGTGAAAACAGCAATTTCAGGAACATTTTATATCACAGAGGCAGCTCTGGCGTTAAGGAAACCAAGCAGAACCACTCTCTTATTTTCCATGGTACAGTAAATATGCACCTTTTTGCTGATTTTACCTTGTTTACACCCTGCTTTTACTATGTTTTTCCATGACTTGCCATTGGTCATATCAGGTTTCACCTTACTGCTCTGTACTTTATGCCAGGGACTGTGTTTTCTGTGAGCGCCACTAGTAGACTTTACTCTGCTTTATCCATGAATCCCCATCTCATCTTTCACAGGGGAAGACGGGACACAGTGGCCATGGCAGGTGAGAGGTTGCCTGTGCGTCAGCAGAGCTCCCACAGAAAAGGGCAGCACTTTTAACCCTTCATGGCTCAGAGTGCCGGGGGTTTCAGAAGTGACGTCTCCCCCCTCTGGAAGGTAGACAGTGTAAATCTCCGCAGCAGAGGACTGGCGGACTTTTTCCCTGTCCAGGGAGTGGTGCTGTGAGTGACCGGGTTCACATCCAAGCAGGGGCAGGAAGGGCTGTGCTTGTCACAGCGCCAGGGCACAACATTCATGTACTGTACATATCCCAGGAAACCCAGGTGAGAACTGCTGGTGGTAAGCAGAAAAGAAACTCGAAAACAAAACAGGGGAAATATGGAGCTTGTGTGGTTGGACAGTAGTTACCACCCCCATCAATGTCTGCTGTTTTCGCTTGGGAAAGGGTGACAATAGTTCAGTAGTCTTATCACACCTCTGGCCCAAAACTAAAGGCACTCTGACTGGAAGCTTTAAAATGTTCACTGTGGTAAAATACGGCATGTCGTACAAACATTTGCAAAGAGCAGCCCTGTAATGCACTTGTATCCTGCTTTTCTCATTAAGTTAAGCCTGCCTCTGGGAAGCTTCAGTGTCCACATTGTGCCTGCCTTCTGCATTTCAGTGTCAGTCTTCTGTTTAAAAGTGTCCTGACAGAAGTCTTCCGTTTCCTCAAAAGTTCTTCTGCTCACAGCAGAGAATAAAAGCAAACATCATTGTTTTCAATCAGGTCCAGTGACCACTGATTGATTTTGGTTTCCCTAAGCTTCTGGGATCAAATATTTAAATGGGAATCTGTTCATACAATAATTTAGGGGCACAGCACAAATATGCTACCTTATATAGTTTAAAAGCCAAGAACTACAGTACATTCATTGGATCACTGAACTACACAAAAGCTACAAAAGATTTAAATTTCAAACAATTCAAACAAAGTAACCAAACTATTTAATTTTGAAGCCTAACATCAGTTGGCTTCTCTGTATTGACATTTGTTAATGAATATTCTAGCTTTGTTCACATTGTGGGAGGGGAAGCCTAAGGGAATACAGACTCACACTTGAAAGCTGCTAAATGAGTTTCCTATCCCACAAGCCCAATATTAAGCCACACACTTTGAGCTTGAAAGGTATTATTAAGCTAATTTAAAACACTAGTTTCTGGGAAAGACAAAAAAGGACACAGGGCTCTAGGGGCCTTAGAGCAGATAAAGCTAAACAGAACATAAATACCTAAAGGGCAATTCCTTACAAAAGTAACAGGGCTGTGTTTGTTTTCATGTAAGCTAATTTATTTTTTGGTTAGAACTGTCTCCAGCACACAATGATCTGGTTTAAACTCTATCTGCACAAATTAGACTCCCATCCCGGTCATTCCTCTCTCCAGACCTAACACTGCTCCTTTGTTGTGCCTTCTGAACGGACTTTCCAAAAGAAGTTGCAGAGTTGTCTCATTATGAAAAAGGAACCAACAAGAGGCTCCCCCAGAGCCTGATTCTGCTGCCATGGTAACAGCTGCAGAGGTACTGTACCAGCTTTAGGGAGATTATTTTTCCATTATCCTCTGGGGGACTGCAACCCCACGTGGATTCTTACAAACACACGCTTGATCATGCTCTCTTGATGTGACAACCTGTGAACTAGCTTGAGCGAAGCTTTGCCACCTTTTTTACTGTGGTATGCCTGGTCGCAGCACAGTAAACCATGGCAAAACACAAAACAAGTGCTGGACAGGCATGATATGGGAACCAGGGAACACAACTGCAAAAGCCTTTCACAAAGTTACAGAGGTGAGCTGGCTAAAGTGACACTGTCACCTGGAGTCAGTGGGAACAGGTACTGAATATATGAAATGCACATAGTCAAAAGGCTAATGGCAAATCAACATATATTTTTTAAAGAAGGAGTAGATGTTTCCACCTAGCATTTCCTGTTTGAAGTCCAGTCCAGTATGTTCTGTCTAAAAGGGATTTATCTTTTGGAGTCCAGGTAAGACTCTGACTGTAAGTAAAATAAAGTGAAGAAGCTTGTCATCTCAGAGGCAGGGGACAACGGATCTTCACTGTTTGGTGTTTGCATCCTGCAATTTGAAATAACTCGTGCCTGGCCAGTGGTCACAATCGCGCCTGCTGTACAATTCAACAGTTTGGTCACACCCTAATTAAGGCGGAGAAGAGGCGTGATGCAACAGCAAGGTTTACTGGGGTACGTCACCCGGCTGAGGAGAAAGACAAGCCCATCAGTAAGGACTGGGCTGTCTCCTAACCCCCCTTGTTGTAATGAAGGATGAGCCAGGGCGCTGCTGATGGACACAGATGGGTGGAAGGTGGGATGTGAAAACTAAACGTGCGAGCAAGTCAGCAAAACCTGTGATATTTAGATACAGTATAGGTATAAAAAGTGGGTGAGATCAGGGTTTGACTGCTTCCTAGCTTTTTGTTTAACAATCCATTTAACAGTATGCATTTTAACACAAGTGGGACGGGAGTGTTGGGCTATGGTTTTTCTCTATTTCAAGAGGGAAATGGTTACTATACTGGTATCTTGTACAATTTCCAAGTTCTCCTGCGACAGCGACGGCACAGGCTTCCCAATTAAAAAACCTTTCGAATTCCAACAGGCGCCCTTCCGAGAAGGAGAAAGACAAACTGCAGAGGAGCTCCAGCCAGTTCCCGAGGGAAGAGGCAGAATGGCAAAATTACTGATTGTGTATCCAGCTCGACCACTTCTTCTCCCACCGAGCAACAGCCGAGATTAAAATAGCAGTACCAACTACTAAATGTGAAAGACAGCCATGTGGAATGAAATAAGCACAGAAGTATTTGGGTTTTTTGGAGAGATGTTACTAAAATAAACACGACAGTGTCACAGACAGAACAGCTTTATACTTGAATAAACAACACACTAAGGCAGAGGAGCCCAGCTCTGGCCACTTAAGGGCCTGTGTCCAGCAGCCTTTGTAGAGCTCGTTAAATCTCCAGCTTCTTAAGAACAACAAAAATGCTTAAACCTGTGAAATTCAGCAAATAATGAGTCCAATCCAGTACAGTAATTATGGGCTCAGGTGGAAAGAAAATCAGAAACTTAATAACTTTAAATAGTCATTTATAAGGTTCAAAACAGAAAATCCTATGATATGTCTCATTTTCAGATTATAATCTACAGTCCAGTAGGTTTTCCTTAGTTGTTGGTTTTCCAAGGGAAAACCAAAAATCCCTTGTATGTCATTGGGCTCATGGGGCATTTAATAATAAAACCAGTCCATTAAACCCTGTTAGGAACAGCAGGAGCCATACTAGTGAAATATACAGCACATCTGAGCACCTGCAGTGCGTGAACACTGCAGGTCTGAACAGGATGCGGCACAAACAGAAAAAAAAAGAATGCAAACTAAGAACACACAGCAGAAAAACTACATACTTCAAGGGCCAACCCAGGTGATCTTACATGTGACATTAATTATTATTCATATCAAAAAAGAAATCAACTGCCACCTGTAAAACTGTGGAGATTTTCCTCACAAAAAAAGAAAATCCATATGCACTCGCCTTGCACCCTGAATAAATGCTCATTATAATCCTGCATGGGTTAACCATTGTCAGAACATCCCAGAGTACTTCTGAACTAGAAGTGCTCATCCACAGCAGTGATGGCCATCTTACAAGATGAAGTGAGTCAGCAGCTAGGTGTGGAGGAGCATGTGAATGTTTCTGTAGACACAGCCAATTACTGGAATGAGATTTTCGATGTATCTGGAGGGGTGAGTCAGCACATGCAGACTTTTATGTAAGATAATTCCCCCCCCCACCCCTCACTCCTTTCTGTCTCAAGCTGTAAAAACGTTTTTACTTTTCTTGGAAGCTCTTGAAGGTGCAGATGTATTGTTCTATTGTAACAGAAACAGAACTCCAGAAATTCCTGTGATCATTGATTAATCAGCTCCCGATGTGACTTCCAACAGGTGGGTCCTGAGCCAACAAAATGAAGACACTGTACAAGACTCAGAGAGCATTGAAAGGTTACCAGCACTGACTGTGGTCACATTATGCAATATAGGTGGATATAATTAGAGCAAAGGTCCTCTGGACATGGCCTGGATCCAAGAGGTAATAAAAATATGGGGAACATTACACCCAAGCAAAAGCTAGGAAGGCCTTACTCCATCACACCCATTATTACTGGCACACCCATTGGGTGTATGCCATACATTTTTAGTTTTCCAATTGTTTACATGTATTTGCCTTGGTTTCTAACAGTGTGGGTCAAGTTTTACCACAGCATTCTACTGTACGCTTCACCTCACTTTTACCATGATTTCACTGTGTTATACTTCACACATGGCTGAGGGAACCGCAGCTGTTAAAAGTGAAAGACAGCACTCTGATGCACAAAGTTCAGTAGCTTGTTAGACATCAGTGAAGTCTCGATAACTGACTTTCAAAGAGAGCAGCTGGTGCCTCACTAGGTGATCATCCAACAGGAGACTCGTCTCCGTGAACACAGGCTGAGGTCTTTGAGTCATTGCTGGTTCAAGTGTGGGCGCTGTCATTAGCAGACTGTGTCTGGGACATCCCAAAAGTCACACAATGGGTAGAGCCCCAATAGTGGAGCTGTACTTTGGTAGCGGATGAAGTGAGATCCTTTGGGAAGAAAAGCACTTTATAAATGCAAGCAGTTAGTATTTTCATTTTATAGCCACCCAGGAGCAATCCCTGAGACTTGCCAGGCATCTATGAACTTTCAAGTGTTTTCAGTGGGAACTGTATCCAAAACCAATCCAAACTATGCTAAGCCCGTAGGCACTGCGAGCTTCACGTGAGGTAGCTCTGACATGTGGGCGATTTGGAGAGCGCCTGCACAATTCCTGCATGTGTGTCAAAACTATGATGACTCTGTACACTGCGCAAGCGTCTCTCATCACTCACCATGAGGCCACTCGGAGGTCTCAACCCACTGCGAAAGGGGCTTCTGGCATTACAGAACCAATACAAACGGGATGCAAGGCTGCCTTATTAACCAACTGAAAAAGTGTGTACTGAACCAGGCGGAGGGATGGCACTGTGGCTCAGGATCTGCGCCTGTGGCTGGAAGGTTGCCGGTTCAAATCCTGCAGCCAGCAGAGGAATCCTACTCCGTTGGGCCCCTGAGCAAGGCCCTTAACACCAGCTGCTCCAGGGGTGCTGTATAAATAATGGCTGACCCTGCGCTCTGACCCCCAGCTTCTCCCCTGTCTGTGTGTCTGATGGAGAGCAAGCTGGGGTATGTGAAAAGACAAACTCCTCATGCAAGAAATTGTATCTGGCTAATAAAGTGATGGGAAGACCATTTTCAATATCCTATAACAAAGACACGCCTCTTACACAAGAAGGGATCTATTCTAACATGTAATTGATTTACATCTAGAAATCATAGGGTACAAAAATGACCTACATTGTTTTTTGGGACATTTATAGCACTTGTTGAATCCCCAGGACGTGCCCACAGTTCCACAGCAATCTTCTTGTTTGGAGAGCCCGGGAAGAGCTTTGCCACACTGTAATCACAGAGAGGAACACAGTCATTACAGCTGTATCTCTGTGGCAGCTCTCAGGATGATCTGCCATCTTCCAGGAAACCTCCAAGTGTTACACACACCACGTGTGGTTAGAAATTAACAGCTCTGGGATAAGCATTATGGGATCCTACATTATAGACCTGTCACCTCAGGGCTGACTGCCAATTCAAATGCTTTCAAAAATACAGCTCTTTAAAATAAGACACAGATAAGAAAACCACGCAGAATGGGCAGCCAGACTGAATTTGTCTAGTGGCTCTAAATTGTTGTTCACTAGTCTGAGGGAGCTTTACCAGATGAATAAAGACTGAAGCTTTTAGAAACGCACTGAAAGAATACTGCAATAATAGTAACAGCAACAACCCGAAGATGAAGAAAACGGAATACGTAAGTAGTTTATTCTCAATGGAAGAAACACAGAATTACTATAATATTGTCTGTTGTGATTATGACACAGAGAGTGCATTTATCAGTGGTATTATTTCGACCCAGACAGCCCATGATATCGGATTCCCATACACATTTTATACTATCTTTTATTGCAGTATGATTTAATGCTGGGTATAAATCGGGATTATATTAGTTCCTAAACACAAAATGAAATATTTGTTTATGTGTTGTGCCAACTTACAGTAACTCTCAGGTGGAATTACTCACTATTCCCTGTAATTGTTATCAGCATTACTCAACCGCCTTAAAGTTGAGAAGTTCCTTCCATGATATAAAAACGCCGATGTTTTCTGACTAATAGGATGCGGGGTCAAATCAACCTTCTTTTTAATCTGAATTCTGCGTCACACGAGTCTTTTCTCACGTTACACAGGAATTAATGAAGACATCCACTCCCTGGTTTAAACGAGTTTGTAGGAAAAGGAAAAGCCAGTTTGCCTGTACATTTTATACAAATAGCCTGAAAGCCAAAAAATGCAGAAAAAACAGCTGCTTTAAAATCTATGAGGTTGCATAGTGGCACAGTGGTCAGCTTTGCTGTCGTGGAGAGCTGTGGCCCTGGGCTCAGCTCCAGACCTGAGATGCTGTCTGTGTGGAGTTTGCATGTTTTCCTTGCGCTTGCGTGGGTCTCCTCCAGGTGCTCCAGCTTCCTCCCACAGAGACGTGCCGGTAGGTCAACCGGCTTCAGGCAAAATGGACCCTGGTGCGAGTGACTGTGTGTCTGTACAGTATCTGTGTCTGCTCTGCGCTGGACTGGCATGCTGTCCAGGGGGTACCCTGCCTTGTGCCAGGAGAGGCCCCGACTTCCCTGTGATCCTGAACTGGAAGAAGCAGTTAGAAAGTGGATGGATGTTATTTGATCTACGGTCGTCTAAGCGGCTTCACGCACTTGCTCGACTCCCAACTGCTCCTCTGTTTCCATGGCTCCTCATCAAGGTAGTTTTGGACAAGGAGGCACGACAAAGCATTTTTCTGCCTGCGTGTTGCTTCCTGTGAGGCACGGGATCGTCAGGGGCCCGGTGCCGCATGGTACCAGCCTCCCTGCAGCTCTCTCACCTGGGCTCCTGTGGTTTCCTGGAAGCAGCGTCCCAGCTGGCTCTTGGAGGTGACTGGGTAATGGTGAATGATGTTCTGCTGGCTGGGGTAGATGACGCCGTGGCCCTGCTGGGCGCCATTCTGCACTGTCTCCCCATGGTACGTGTACTGGCCAGACTGCGAGCCTTTGACCTGCTGTCCACTGGCGTCCAGCTGGGAGACCTGGTGGATCTGGATAGAGGCTTCAGGGGGGTGCTTGACGTGGATATTCACGACGTTGGGAGGTAACTTCACTGTGTGAAGAGCCGAAGGAGAAAGCAAAAAAGGGAAGCACAAGGCAGATGAGCCAGAGAGACGGAGAATGAAGGGCACAAACAGCAAAACAAAAATTAAATCCACAGCCAATGAAGGGAAAAAATCCTGGGGTCAAAGTAAGGTATCAGCTGCTCACAATGATACAGTCAACGATTTAGAGAAAAAAACTATTCTGGGTGAACAATATCCATTTCAGGAAGTAAGGGCTGAATAAAAAATAATTTATCACTAATTACTATTTTTAAGTCCAGAGTGACTCCATAACAATCATCATATAGTGATCAATAAAGAGCTGAACAGATCCAGAGATGAGATGACTGTGGAATGAATCTAAAAAGATGTAACGTGCATTTGGTCACCAAGCTAAAAAGATAAAAAGTTTGGGTGAGTTAAAAAATTATTTACAGAGATTATTGTACTGCACTTAATGTTCCTTATTTTAATATAGAGTTTTATGGTTTTTCGTTTTTCGAAGTGCCGCACAGATTGAGAAACTCGCCCCTTCTGTCCGCCCCCTACCTTGCACACCGCTCTGTCCTCCAAAGGTCAGGGGAAGCGTGTGCGTGGAGTGGACCTGCGAGCTCTGGCTGTGGCTGAGGGACACCTGCTGGTGCTGCTGGTGCGTCTGGTACTGCTGGGAGGGGTGTCTGTGATGCCCGTTCTGCACTGGGATCTGGCAAAACTTGCCGGTGAAGTGTGGCGGACACTGGCACTTGTCCCGGGCGCTGCACTGCCCTCCATTCATGCAGGGGAGGTGGCAGACAACTGCAATCGAAGAGATAGAGGAAATGGGGTGAGAGTCCACACACCCTTTCCAAAGTCACTTTGTGGCCTAACAGCCTGAAATTAAGACACATTAAATCAGAATTTATTTTACTTTTATTTACACACACACACATCCTCCCAAGTGAAAAACAAATGCTCAACCACTCTGAAAAGTAATTTTCAAGTAATTAATTAGAGTAATTTTCCACTCTGAAAAGTAACACAAACCTTGTGTGGTTTAATGTTTTTAAAGATAAAGATTTAATGTTTTTTTATTTCAGGCTGTTAAGCAACAACATGTACAGTATGACTTTGGGAAGGGTGTGTAGATGTTCAGTAGGCACTGTACAGACAGGTCTGTGTGTGGCAACTGTAATACCTGCACTTTTGGTTGGACCATTTAGGATTCAGTTCTTTAAACCACCAGATTTATGCTGCTTATTAAAAGATATCTGATGAAATTCATGTGATAAAGGCATTACGTAGCGGCTAAAACTGGCAGCAGGAAATTGTGAACATCACAAATCTTGAAAGCAAGTGCATGCAACTGCTTTCTCAAGCACATTTAGAGTAACTGCATACTGAATCCACCAGCAACTCCCACAGAGGAAAAGTACATTTGAGAATTTCCATACATTCACAGGTTCTGTGTATAATCTGAAATGTGCCATACATATTTCAGTTACAATAATAAAGCAAATATTAATTTAATTATTATGCCCTTTCTTCCACTGTGAGGGGTCGCTAGGCGGGGGTTATGCCACATCTGCAGGAAAATACAGGAAATTTCAACCCACTGTCGTGAAATGCAGCTCCAGTTTCTGGAGTGAAAACATTACATTTTCTAGGAATAACAATTATGATTTGAGGGCTTTAAGGTGCTGCTGTCTGAATCAAGGGTCTGTGCGTAGGCCAGCCCCAAGTGTGTACTCTCTCTGTGAGGATTGTCAGTCACCCAAAGCTTAGTCATCCACAAAGGAATTTCCTCTGCAGCCCCAGCTAGTCTGTACACGCACGGCAGACCGCACCAGGCTCACATTCAAGAGAGAAACGCTCAAAAAAAATCTGAATTAGAATAGAGAATATTCAGGCAGCAATTTTAAAAAAATTACAGCACAAGGCCATTTTGCGGATGGTCTCTGGCAATCTCTTAATAAAATTCTCTGGAAAGAAAACAGAATCTTAGCCTCGTGTGTATTTGAAAAATGTGTCAGTGGCGTGTGGGGAGGGATTATAAATCACAGTGTCACTTCTAGACAATCACCAGACGGAGATTCAAGCTCTACTGGATGTATATGGTAAACATCTCAATTGTAAAACTGTAGAAGCGTTTTGTTAAATATGAGAAGAATATGTAAGTTATATACAAATATATTCATTTATTTGAATTAATAGTAGATATTTCTGGACAAGGATATACATGTGATTGAGTCTGGAATTACTGTTTTTAGGGACCATTTGCCAGTAAAATAAAGGGGTCCCTTCCTGTGTTCTATCCCACATGTTCGTAGAAGACTTGGATCAAATTCTATGAGCGCTCACTTTCTACCTCTAGAACAAACGCATGCACAGGGTCAAACACATGATGACACGTCTGTTCTAGAGCACCGCACATGCAGGGCAGGGTCAAACATGTTGAGACTTCAAAAGAAAATTCAAAATTACTGGAACAACCTAACAATTCAATGCAGCTAAGTGTAAATTGATTAGATATTGTACTGCCTTTTTTCTTCATACAAATATCTTTTCACCACAAAAGCAGATCCTGTGAAAAAATTAAATAAGCAGGAATACAACACTAATAAATGACAAAAAGATAACCATTTTACATCAAATACTAATTTCTCTCATGTTTGCTCTGCGGCCAGACAGATATTAAAAAACAGAGAATTTACAATAACTGTGCACTACTCTTAATTTCATCAGTATTTAGCACATAGCTGCTATTTAAAAGTCAGGCATTTACTTCACAAGACAAAGATGCTTTCTAAAACGAATTGACTTTTTACAGCAGAATTTACTTCTATTTTGCCAAAAGTATAATACTTTTGACAAGCAAGCCAAAGACAGTGTAGGCCTTTTTCAGCTTTAGCACACAGCACTGCAGGAACACCTACAGCAGTGTCAGAAACAAATCAAACAGCACAGAAGGGCAAGGCTGGAGTTATCGTCCAGCACTGAAGTGGAGGGATTCAGTGAGGACATACAGCCTAACAAAAAGTGAGCTTTCAAATTCTTGAAAATCCACTCAGTGGGACATTTGCAGACTTCAAGAGATCAATCTTGCAACTGTCATAACCCGCAGAAGTGTGAAGCAAAACACTGCGACGAGAACAGGAACTCGGAGACGTGGATGACTGAGATGTTTACACTGTTCTAGGAATGCTCAATCCATCTTAGGTTTATTTTGTCGTACATCTTATCCCTCAGCAATTCACTTTGTTCCTGTTCAGTGTGCCTGGCTGCTCTCTGCAGCGTTGAAAGCACGGCACGCCCTCCCTGTGATGACTGGCTCTCTCGACAATGACGAAAGCTGCATGCCAGGAGTGGACTGTACGGGTCAGAACCAATTGCCGAGGGGGGGAGTTTTCAACAAAGTGAAGCGGAGGTATATGAGAGTCGGGAGAAATTGCACAAGCAATGTTACCTGTGAAATCCCCAGGTGAAAATCTTGCATGCCAGTGGGATTGCCCACTGAAAGCCACAGTGTGGTGGATTTGCCTTGATGGTTTTTAATGAGCGGTGCAATAAATACTTATCATAGCAGAAACACCTTTCTCCACTACTCAGGATCTAATGCTAAAGACTGGTTTTCACCTGATTTTTATCATCAGAGGCAGCTAGGTGTTTTCTAAATGCCCAATATAAGCTATACAGTGTACTGCTATATACGGAAAGAGAAGAAAATATTCATTCAGTTTTGTCATTCACACATTCTACAACCAAACACACTTTTCCCCTGATGTAACCTGGTGATAAAGTATGACATGCAACAAATTCCTTTAGCTCCACAAAGCGTAGGTCCAAACTGGTCACTGGGATACTAGTGGTAGCTGTAAAATTTAAGAAGACACAACTAGCACCTGCAACCTCATTACGAGAAATCAGCTGCCCGTCCTACACACAGTGACACCACAATTACCCTTTGATGAGTGCAAAGAAGCACCAAGTGTACTTCAAGCTAGAATATCCAGTATGTTCAGTATGCTGTCTGGATATCACAGAAAAATCGTTAGTGCTCTTGATGTTAGCATGCCAATCCTAATGTCCATGGCCATGATGCCACCCAGTAGGTTTGTTCCTGCAGTCCGATTCAGTATTTGTGTGTTTGATACTGATCCAGTTCTTTTCCTAATGTGTGAATCCTGTTGAGATCTCCAACTTAGCAACCAGCAGGGGACTGGTGAGGCACAAGGTGTTCATGAAGATTTCAAATGAAAATCTTTCATATGGAGAAAAAACTAGCTCTTCATTTTTAATGCCTCTGAACATTTTGACTTCTTAACCATAACCAAATATATAACTAAAGAACCATTGTTTTTTTAAAGGATTAATACAAATTATTTCCCAGTCTAAAATCTATAAAATGTCTAAAGCACCTCAGACTGAATACTGTTTTTAAATCTAAATCCAGACTGACTGCTTTCCCTTATATACATAATTTCTTCTGACAAGCTCTGTATTATTCTTCATTATCACAGCATTATAAATTTCTTTCCAAAGAACTTCCCTCAGCGAAGAGCCAGGCTATGACCACCCTGTAGTCTTTGCTGCCAGATTCAATGAAATGTGACATAAACTCAGGCCCTGCACAACAAATTCCTACAAACTGTGCTCCACTGCTGTTCCTCTCTCGCAGAATGCTCTGTTAATTTTTGACACATTTTACACAACAGAAGATTATTACATGTAATGACTGCAGCGCCAAATTAATACAAAGTGAGAAATCTAGCTGAATGTCCAACTGAAAGCAACAAAACTTGGCAGTCTGAGGCAATGATGCTGATGAATCACTGTTTATGTGACTAATGGGAATATTTAGCTTCGATATAAGATGATAATGAACATAAAAACAGTTACAAACAAGAGGACACCATTAGTAGCTCCAAAGATCTCAGCTATTCTATTCTTAAAGAAAGACGGGACATTGGCTAGAAGAAATACAGTTCCTATATCTTTTTCACACACAGCCCCTTTAAGATCAGTGGATTAATCTTCACACTTGTGTCCATTAAACGTCATCTGCCAGGTATTTGGCCAGTCTTGAATTTTATCTCAATCTTTACTTATTCCCCTGCTTCTACTTTTTTTGCTAATGCTTTTATTTTAGTACCATTTGCAAACCTGACTATGTTACTGCCAGAATCGAAATCATTGATATAAATTCGGAAGAGGAGAGATCCTAGTACAGATCCCTGAGGTACTTCAAGAATTACATCACTCGGCTCTTATACAGTACGTACTCTGTCTTCTATCCCTTAACAAGTGCATTCAAATACACACATTTCCCTGAATACCAACTGCCTGCAATCAGAGTAATCTAAAAGATTTTTAGAAGACTGAATATACAACATAAGGACAGTGAATATACAGTATAAGGATAGTGAATATACAGCATAAGGATAGTGAATATACAGTATAAGGACAGTGTTTGCTGAATGCTGCATTAGGTTTTCATTTTAGATGATAAAGCTCTGAGCATTCAGATCCTGGATAAAAGAAAGCGTATGATTGACGAACGAATTAGCAATTGGCCATATTCGGCAGCACAAATGCCTACTATTTTTCACATAAAACATAATTTACATTATAGTCCTTGACGTACCACACTGACACGCTTGACGTAAAGGAGGCAGCATCTGTGGAAATGAATACGCATTTCTAGTCTCCGCACAGCACAGTCTGGGAGCGATACCTCTGCCAGGTGTGGGGAAACACTTCCAAAATAAAACTGAGAGCTGTTACTGTGGTAAAGAGCCAGCACTCTCAACAGGAGAAGG